TCGTCTCGATGAAAAACTTATATCATCTTTATGTATTACCACTTCTCGACATTTTTTCACAAATTATATTAATTGGAAAATTTTGCTTTTTGTTTGCAATATTTGGAAATGTCTAAATTCTTGGCTAACATCATAAATTAAAACTGCCGTCTGCTATGCACTATTGACAATGTATTATGAGATTTGTGATTAAAGACATGTTCTTCCCCTAAATTTTTTATTGTCTTATCGCTTGCTTGTGAAGTTAAGCCTGAATTAGTTTAGTTTGCTGTTATACGTACGTCTTACATATGCTTAAAGCTAATCTGAGTCCTGAATAAATAAATTCCCACATGTGCTTAAGGCATATCCAAGGCTGGTGGTGTTAGGCATTTTGAAGCACAGTGCAGTCTCTGCGAATCCTAAATTCTGCTGCTGAGATCCTCCTTGAATTTAAAAATGTTGCATTCCAGTGCCTTCCCTAAATTTTAAAGACATTGCCATCCCTTAAATTTTTGCTGTTCAGCACTTCTTAAAATTCTAAAAATTTTTCCTCCATAAATTCTTCTGCCTGCTCTGAGCCTTTCCTGTTCGTATTTGAATAAAAAACAGTTATTCTCAATTCAAACAGCACCAAATGAAATCTTTTAGACTATGAGTATCATTTAAAAAAAAATCTTTCTTTTTAATGTGTGTGTATGGAAAAAGAAATCTGTTAAATTTGTCCTTTTCAACACTTCACAAAGTAGTTAGTTGAAGTCTATAATCATCATCAAGTTTAATGTCGACATAAAAAGTTACCATGTTCTTTGGTACTCAGTTAGTGATATTTTTTTTAAAAGTTTAGTCATCACTGCATGAGTCATTTCTCAAGCTGTGGTGTGTTGATAATCTTGCTGCAATAAAAGCCTCCCCCCCCAAAAAAAAATAATGTGCACAGTTGATATCAGTAGTATAAATTATTTAGTAGGTGTAAAATCAAGATTTAGTTTTGGTTTATTTAATCATGGCAAAGCACACTAGGACTATCTGCCTAAGAGGAGGGATGTCTTCATGGAGGACTTTCTAAGGGAAACTGATTCGTATACACGTTACACATGGGGAAAACCATGAAAACGCCCATGCAGCCAGCTCGTTTGCGGGGTTTGAACCTCGGACCGAACTACAAGTGTTCAGCGACTTTACTGCTCGACCGCTGGTGGGCCGTAAAATCAAAAATGTTTCAATGTAGAAATTTCAGTTTGAGATGCATTACAAGCAAAGGCAAGTGTCAAATTATCTATCGTACATATTTGTGATAATAAATGACAGTTTCTCAAGTATGAAGAATTTTAAGTGAAATTAAGAATCTGGTCTCTACATGTTTTGTTATGAAAAATGAAAAAAAAAATATCGTGTATACAGTGAAACCTCGTTACAACAATATTTTAGGGACCAAATAAATATATTGTTGTAGAGAGGCATATTGTTATATCGAGGGCCCACATATTTGAGCATTTAATAAGAGTTTTCTTTTATTTATTAGTTTAAGGTGCATAACACGCTACTTTTAAGTCTTATTTAAAAGAAATTAATTGTAAAATACTAATAATAGTGGTTTCACTACTAAAAAAATAATAAATTAAGATAAATTCAGAAAATAAGCACAGAAATATTCACATACCTGAAAACTACTTTTTATTGAAAATAATCCAATATTTTCGTTTGTTATTGATTTTTTAACTGTTAAGTTCACCAATACTGTATGCATTGAGTCTAGTGCACGAAAATGTCTTATTTGTCGATGGAAGGCTTGAAAAAATTGTCCGTAGTGAATTCACAGATTGAAGAACTTCCTGGGATGACAATAAGGACTGCGATAACCTGTATTATCATCATCATCAATATCATCATCATCTTCATCATTGTTTCCTATCTCATCATAATTTTAGAGAGAATATCTCATCAGTAACTCCTGCGAAAACCATAAGATCATCATCTGCTGTTAAATAGTCTTCTATACTAATTCCAAACTTTTTACCGCTTGTTTTCAAGTTGGGATATGGATTTTTTGATGTGCAAAACACATTCTTGATCATCTGAGAGATCATTGTCTATGGAATTTCATCATTATCAGATTTCTTATTTCCATAACACAAGACCGGCCTTTTTCCAGCAATTCCGAATGGTTTTCTGTTACTTCCCACCAACTTCCAGCAATATTGTCACACGCTTCCTTGACCATTTACAGCTTGAAAGGGTATTCTACTTTATTTTCAAAGTTTACAAGTATGGAGTCCACCAACCATTTTCTGTATATCCTTTGAAGCACTTAATTATGCCCATATCAGAGCTGAAAATTGAAGTGCAATTGGCAGGGAAAAAAAGCGATTTCGATATTTGTACTTTGGAAATGACGTGTGAGCACCGCAGTTATCTATCAACAAAACAAATTTTTTTCTTTCTCTTCATTTCATTGTCTAACTTCTGTAACCCATTCGGAAAAAAATTAGACGTCATCCAAGCCTTCTTATTTGCTTTATACTCCACGGGAAGACTTTTCACGTTCTTAAAGCACCTTGGCTTCAATGATTTACCAATGACAAGAGGTTGTATTCTATGCTTTCTTGTGCTATTTGTACACAGAAGAACAGTCAGTCTCTGCTTTGATTTCTTCCCTCCATAACACTTTTCACCCTTGAAATGCCAATGTTCGATCGGTAGGAGTTGGAAAAAAGCCCAGCTTCATCTGCATTATAATGTCTTCTGAGAATACTTTTCTAAGATTTCTTCATTCTTTTTGCCGCCATTCATTTGCGTCGTTTATCGGGGCTGACTTTTCTCTCCGTGAACTTTGGAAAGTTATTCCATGACGATCTCGAAACGCATTAACCAACCATTGCTAGCTTTGAAAAGTTTCGTTCCCTAGCATGCTGCAAATTTCCGTGCTTTTGCACTAATAAAGGTCCATTTATTGGGACATTTGTTGCTCTCATCTCTTGAAACCATTTTAAAACAGCAGCATCAATGTTTTCATTTGTCGCAACTTTCAGTCGTTTTCGCTCTGGGTTAATTCATTTTAAGTTACAGCATCTTCGATTTGCTTTCTCTCTTAGGAACGTTGAACTGTAGATTGCGATAATCCATGTTCTTAGCCGCATCAATCTGCTTCATCCCTCATCAATATCATTGATACCGTTCAGTTTATCTTGAAAAGATAGTTTGCTTTCGCCCTGCCATCTTAGGGAAACAATATCGCGTGGAAGAAAGAAAAGTTAAACCAAATGTTTCGCATAGAACTCAAAATCGTTAAAGACTATAAAACAACCTTTGAACTCACTTTTCAGTACGTCACTTAACAACACTCCGCCTGCATCTCCCCTGTTCCTCTAACAAAGGGCACGTTGTTCTGTGACAAGGTGATCCAGACAGGTCTAGATGTCCTTAAACCTTATCAGAATTCCAAAGCTTACTGGGAAATGAGACTAGGCATACATTTACACTTCACCCCCCTCACCCCACTCCCCACTTCCCAAAAGGATGGTCTTCATCTGTTTTGAAATCTGAACAATAGCTATTTATTCAGGGATAAGTTGAATATCCACAATGAGTCTTAATAGATGGAAAAAATAACAAAAGAAAAGGAAAAATAAAAAAGCATTTGAAAATCAAAATATTTATTATAAAGGGAAAAAGTAATACTGAAATTTGGATTGAAAAAATCGTTTTACAGAGGTTTATTGTTCTAGAGAATATAGCAATATTGAGGGGAGATTAACATTAGTTTATATGCAAAATCACTGGGACCATAAAACATTATTGTAGTAGAGGGAGTTACTGTTGTATCGGGTATCGTTGTAGCGAGAGTTTACTGTATATAAAGAATACAAAAGATAAAATTTAAATTTATATAAAGGATCCAAAAAAGAATTTTAAAAAGAAAAATGATGGTGGCCCAGTGGTACACATCTTAGATATTCCAGATATTGCATGTCCTGAGTTTTAAACTTTGTACTGTTTTGGAAACAACTTTACAGGGTGTATTGAATAAAATGAATTGCTAGATAATCAAGCAAAGGATAATCAGTATGCACTGCATTGCATTTTTAGGTAGTGTACTGTTCTTGATAATATTTGTAATTAATGCAGTTGTTTTTCTTTTATATATACTAAAATGTTAATTTTAAAATTTACTGATATATATGTCTTTTTGGATTTATAATATTTTATGTTTTATTTAGGTATTCCTCGTGTAGGAGTTAAATGGCTGCATGGAGAATCTTTAGGATTCATATTTATTAATTTTAAAAGCCCTCTCACTGAAGTGAGAAAAGTTGTTGAAACCGAAGTGAGTGTTTTTATATGTGGAACAAATGTATTAAATAAATTATTTTTTGTTTATTTAATTAAATATATATAAATGCTATAATTTCAATTTCAATTCTTTTTTTTTTTTAAATCTGGTTCTTATTGTTGTTGATAATAGCATCACAGTAGTTAAGATTATTGAGTATATGCTGTAGTTTTTGCTTTGCTGTTAATTATTGATCCATATGTGTATTATTAGTATTTTTTTATGTTGACCAGAATTACAGAAAATGACTGCAATTATTTTTTTCTGATTGTAGGCACCCATTGTTTTTAACATTAGCTAAAATTGCCAGGTTTTTGGCATAGTGTACAGGAGTTTATATGCTTTACATTTAGCTGTAATTTTGTTAAACACTGTATCCTGGCTGTGAAAGTATTACTATTTGCCATATAGACTTCTGTTTCATTTTATTTTCTTGTGCAAAGTAAAGGAAATATTGTGATAATAAAAAATTTTGGGTATCATTTTGATATAAATATCTATTTTTACTGGTTCTGAATCTACTTGGATGATTTTTTTTTGGTGTGGTGTCTGTATATATGCACAAAACAGAGGACTTTCCAAAACAATGTAGAATATATGTATGTGTATATCGCATAGCATAAAAAATCATTAGCCGTAGAAAGTTGAGATTTTGCATATCACACTGCTGTAACATCTAGTTGTGCACCTCCCTTTTTTATTGCAATCAGCAGTACCAAATACATGCATATATATATACTATTTACCCACCCCCTTACCCGGCTTAAATGTCCTTACCCGTCCTTTAATTTCACAATCGTTGGTTATAGTCATGTATTTCTAATTACAGATGCGACAAAAATATTTATATTTTGGCAATTCAAATTTATTTTTTTTAAGGAATAACAAACATTTTATCTTTTATTGCTGTATACTGGATTCAATTTGGGAAAGTTTTATACTGGTTGTGAAAGTTTGACTCTCGAACAACAAAAAGTGGCAGGGCTATTTAATTTCAAAATTTGCAATTTTTGATGTCATTTTCAACTAGGTCAATTAATTAAGTTAGAATAATACGAGGCAATAAGTTTAAATGAAGTGCAGCAAAAAATATGTATAATTTAATCGGTCAATATGATGGTCACATTAGATTTTTTTTACATATAATTTTTTGCTTCTGATATGAATTCACAACTTTTTGTACGAGTAGTCGAAAAATATCCAGTTACTTTTCATATATCTAGTGACTCGTTATTACATATAACCTAGTAGCTGTTATACATTTTGTGTGCTAAATGTTGTAATGGGAATTTAGATTCAGAAAATGCCTGATTTAGGTTTTAGTTTCAGGTTCAAAAACTGCTGCAATTAAAAGGAATATTCTACTTTTTTAAATGTGAATTAAGATTTGTGTACAGTTAAAAAGAATCATTGACTCTTTAGATTTGTCATGTATAAAAAGTATGGATATATGTGTATAAAAATATATATTTTTATACTATCATGATGTACATGATGGTATAAAAAATATCTGTTATATGCAAAGAGCGGGTGGAGTTTCTGGCATTACACACATTGAATTGCATTGTAGCTGTTAGACACTTTTTTACTTGCAATTTATAATTCTGTTTTCATAGCATTATATTACATTTACATCAAAGAGACCTCTGATTAATTATGACTGTTTTTTTCATTGTGAGATGTGTATTCATATTGTTACAAATTTGGTATTTAAAAAGCTAATGTTAGTTCAATTATAAATTACATGGTTTTATTTCCCGCGCAGTGCAGCGTGTGACGAATATTAAAAGAAAGCTAAGCCGGAAAATTGAAAATACAAGAGCGCGTGCATTTTAACATTTAATAAATATCTCTTTTTGATTTCGAGAAAGTACTAGAAAATTCTCGCACGCGATTTTAAAATCTTATAAAAGGAGGAAAACCTCTCAGTTCAGAGTAGTTACTTAGTTTGTTGTTGTTTAGAAAAACTGCTCTTGTTGACTGTAGCGAATTCGGGATTAGCTTTCTCTAGCTGTTTTGAATTGAGTTTCTTTTTGAACGTTTGAGTAGTTAGAAGATAACTACTGTGAGATATTATAAAACTGAAAGAATATCTGAGGGAATTTAAGCATTTTGTGATAATAATAAATTTTTTTGTTCATGTTTCATCGGACTTGTGCATTCATTTCAAACGAACCCGTACGCACGCAACAATTTTTGGTGTCAGAAGTGGGATTTTGAATGCCAATTACAAGAGCGATGGAAGAACAATTCAGGCAAATGATGACTGCATTTACTGCTTTCCAAGAAAGGATGGAAGGGGCCATCAACTCCATTAAGGAAGAAATGAAATTGGGCCAGGAATTCGTTAAAGTAGAAATGAAGACTGTTCAAGAGAAGATTGAAGCAGGTCATGACGAAATAAAAAGAGAAATTACTAGCGTGATAGAAAACAAATTCGAGGTTATGGACGGGAGAATTGATGCAGTTGAAAATAAAGTTGGACAAATTGAAGAAAAAGTTTCTTCGGGGAAAGAAGAAATAGAAGAAAGAGTTTCTGCCGTCGAACAACAAATTGAAGATAGGGTTTCAGCCGTTGTGAAAGAACTGGATACTTTAAAGAAATTCGTAGTGACGGGAGGGAGCAATTCGGATGGTTTTAAAATTTTACCCATGGCTGCCTGTCCCTCACTGAAGCTATCCACATATGATGGGAAGACCTCCTGGCAAATGTATAGGACACAATTTTGTATCGTTTCGGATGCGAATGGATGCGATTCCCAAACTAAGGCCTGTCATCTCGCCGCTTCTCTGAGAGCAGACGCAGTGGATATCCTGCAGACGCTTCCAGAAAACCAAAGACTTGACTTCAAAGCTCTATCCGGCGTGTTGGAGCTTCACTTTGGCGAGAAATGTTTAAAAGACTACAGCAGGCTTCATTTAAAATCCTGTCAACAGAAACCCACCGAAACACTTCACAAGCTTGCCACGGATGTTGAAAGGCTGTCACATCACGCCTTTTTGGAATGCCCAAGAGAAATCCTTTCACTGCAATATTTCATCGACGGCATCCCGGATCCTGAAATATAGAAAGCTCTTCGAATAGTAGATGTTAAAGATGTAAAAAGTGCTCTGTTGTACACCTGCCTTAAAATTCGAGGCAGCTCAGCAAGCAACTGATAGAGGTCGCTACCCAGTCAGAGCTATACGAGTCCACGAGCCAGTGGATCAACTGATGGCTCGTTTAGATGATTTAGCTAGAAAAGTCAATGCTTTGATACGGAGTAGGAGTGATAACAAAGTAGCTCTAAGGTGTTGGAGATGTGGTTCTGAAGGTCACCTGCGACGTAATTGCAGAACATCCCAGGGCTCGGATAATAAAGCAGATGATTTGATAAGACCATTGAATCCCTTGAGGCGGAATATTGTGTGAGGAAACCAACTCTTAAGTGCTGGAACTGCAATGTTGAAGGCCACATATGAAGGAACTGCAGAACACCCCAGAGCACAGAAAATAAGAGAGGCAGGTTAAACAGACAATTAAATGCCATGAGACGGAAAAGAATTGACAACAAACTAAAGTTTAAACTAAAGTTTAAGCTCAACAATTTAAACTAAAGTGCTGGAACTGTGGAGCTGAAGGCCACGTACGAAAGAATTGCAGAACACCCCAGAGTACGAAAATTGAGACCATTTCTCAGCAACGACGCAGGGAACAAAGTAATGACCATATCAAGGAACTTAGGTTTCCAGATAATGATAAACCTTGTTTTAAAGCGCTCAAGATTTTTACAGTGAGTGGCAACAGTAACGGACTGTCCATCAATGGGAATATCGATGGAGTTCCTTGCAATATGATCATTGACACAGGAGCTAATGTTACAATCATTCAGAAGGATTTAGCTCAACAGTTTAAAGATAAACTTATTTGGACGCCATCCTGTGTTATCCTTCAGACTGCGTCTGGTGATAAGATCGACATAGTTGGGAAATTAAACCTAAACATCACGTTTGGAAGTGCCGCTTACCATCACGTGGCATATGTGGCGGATATTACAGATCTGTGCATACTCGGATTGGACTTTTTAAGGAAATACAAGTTTTCCTTAGACTTCAAAAACAAAACTGCTTTTAGCATCTGAGGATATGACTATCTATCCTCAGAAGGGATCCTCACCTAGAAACGTCGTTATCTCCTCTGAAAGACCCTGCTTAATTCGGGGATTAGCTTTCTCTAGCTGTTTTTGAATTAAGTTCTTTTGAACGTTTGAGTAGTTAGAAGATAACTACTTTGAGATATTGTAAAACTGAAAGAATATCTGAGGGAATTTAAGCATTTTATGATAATAATAAATTTTTTTGTTCATTTTTCATTGGACATGTGCATTCATTTCAAACGAACCCGTATGCACACAACAATATCAATGGTAAATGGAAGATTGTCATAATGCATATTAAGTTTATTTGTTGCTATTAAGCATCTGTACTTTTGTTGGATGTTTAATGTAATGCATAGATTGTATGAGGGTTCTTTTTTTGTTATTTATGAGCAGCATTCCAGTTTGTCTGAGAAATAATGGTCCAAACTGAAGAAACATATCTCATTACATAACAGTGTGTATTCAGGGTTTTAGCCATTGTATGAAGTGGTTTTAAGCTCATCTGTGGACACTTAGATTAAAACGTGAACACTGGTACTTCTTGGTTTTGAATCTTAGTGAAAAAAGAACACGGTTCTTTTTTTTTCATCCTTGTTTAATGTTAACACAATCAAATTTTTCTTTTACATTCTTCACAGAAGTATCTTACTCTTTCAAAAAAATTCTGTTGAAGTTTAGATTGTTGCAAGAAATTCTAGAAATAGCAGATTCTGTACTTTAAAAATGTTAACTTCAGTTAATGCTAATTCGTGAATATTCGTGTTTTAGTATTACAACACTTCCCCTAACCACAATGATTTGTTAGAATTCAACGACCAAAATAAACACACCTTAATCGACATACTGAAACTCGAT